TAACTTTGAATATCAGTGCTATGCGCAAGATATAACTAGCCTGAATCGGAACTGTGAATGTGCGCCAGAACAGCGACAACGAGACATTGTATAGGGCCGGACGGAACGAGGCATAGCGGTGGTGACAAGGCGAATTCTACCCGGTTGCTGAGACAATAGGGGGGAATGACTGTCCTGCTGGGGTGCTGCGTTCTTCCGTGAGTGATGGCGCACACAAATTGGGGGAGCCGAAGCGAGCGCATTTACAAGTTATGGCTAGAGACAGCCATCCGCATGCCACCAGCTGCCCGCATGCGACGCGCGAACTCATCCCGGCTACCGTAATCTGCGAACCTGATTAAGTCACCCACGGCGATGTCGTCGGCGGAATGTGGCCGGGCTGTGCTGACAGCAGCAGACGTGTGCAATCTCTTCAAGGCCACAAGCTACACGACGATAAATCGTGTCAATTTCCGCTCTTTGAGCTTATGCAAATTGTCAGAAGATGGCACGATAGCCGAGGCTTCTGGCGATGGCCCAGCTGATTTGTTGCCGCTTTCGCATAGTGTTACTCGTCATGGAACGCCTTTTGCAAGAGATTTGCCCTAACTTCGATATGCAGAGCTAAATTGAACTGAGATCCAAATATCTAAATACTGAGCTCAAAAATTGGCCGCCCTATGGGACTCGGATAAAGGATAAGAATACCCGAGCAAAATATGAAAGCCGATTGGAATTTATGGACATCCAGGAAAAAATGCTTTGCTTACAACAGTAAATAGTATATCTATTAGGCCGTAACAAAGGTTCTCATGTTACATTTCTTTCGCCTTCGTCTAAAAAACTATAAAAATCTCGGCAAATTCCCATACCTGGCTTGTAAGAGGAAGGAACTAAGTGCTACTCAATGACATTTCCACTTTCACAACTAGTTACAGTAAAAACAAAGGCAACGGCGAAAACAAATTCAATCTACATTTTTTCTTTTTCTCTCCTTTTTCATTAGCAGATTCTTGGATTTTTTATGTGGTTCTGAGGGCATTAGCGCTAATACGAAGACAGTCCGCAATTTAAAGGCAGCGTCCAGGCAGATCTGGATCTATGGGGCTTTTACGTGGAAAGTACTTTTGGGGCCCTAACTAAGGCACTGCCCAAGCGGCAGCTCACGTGGTGCTCTAATGGCTGAGATATTCCCCTCGAAACTGGCCCCCGCGAACGTAATCGCATGGATTCATGGCAGTTTCGCGCCAGGATCCACGCTTTGCGCCATGAATCCATGCGAAACACGATCGCGGGGTCCAGATTGAGAGGAATATCTCAGCCATTACAGCACTACCTGAGCTGCCGCTTGGGCAGTGCCTTAGTTAGGGCCCCAAAAGTACTTTCCACGTAAAAGCCCCATAGGTCCAGATCTGCCTGGACGCTGCCTTTAAGCCCTCCAAAGTTCGAAATTTCAAAATTATTCGGGAAAATTGAAACTTAAAAATTGGATTTTTCATGTCTAAGGGCCGCATGCACTATTATCCCCGCAGGGAGGGGATCGCAGCTTGAAAGACAGCTTTATATTTCGAAACTCTAAATACCTGGATTTCACGTTGTGTACCTATCCGTAAGTATTCCTACTACCCTTCACTATGAATATGTTGAAGAGGAGCGAGAAGCTGTACGAACCGCATTTTCCAGCTTTTGTGTGATCCCTGTGATCCCCGGCGCTTTTCTTTAAAGTTATTTTTCTTTCTCCGAAGTTAACGAAAACCTTCCAAACTTGTACTGAACATCTAACACAACAGTGCTAAGCATGTTGCTGATGAGAACAAATGAGTTTTTGAAAAGTCGAAATTTTCGGTAAACCTCAAATTTCGACCTATGGACCATTGAAAATTTCATGACTTCAAAACATCATTTGTGCTTATCAGCAACATGCTTAGCACTGTCGGGTTAGATAATCTGCACAACTTTGGAGGTTATTTGTTAACTTCGCAGAAAGAAAAATGACTTTAAAGAAAAGCGCCGGGGATCATCAGGGATCATACAAAAGCTGGAAAATGCGGTTCGTACAGCTTCTCGCTCCTGTTCGACATGTTCATAGTGAAGGGTAGTAGGAATACTTACGGATAGGTACACAACGTGAAATCCAGGTATCTGGAGTTTCGAAATATAAAGCTTTCTTTTAACCCATTGACGACGATGTGGACCACCGGTGGCCTACGCGCTTTTTGCTGCCAGGGACGATGTGGACCCCCGGTGGCCCACATCTCTTGCAAAGTCGTATTATTTGCAGGTCTAATATTTTTTCTACACAGCAAAATTTTTTTCCAATTTTCTGTATTCTTGGGACCTGTAAGCTCTGCCGTTCAAGAAAATGTTGATAGTTGTTCACAAAACAATGTTGCATTTAGTAAATAAGCACAGAACCTTCCCACACTGAAAGTGTTGTGCAAAATCGCGTCGTCCCACAGCGCCGCCGCGCAAAATTAGGCGTCGTCGTCAATGGGTTAAGCTGCGATCCCCTCCCCGCGGGGATAATAGTGCATGCGGCCCTAAGTGTATATATCAAAGAGCTACAACGTCTCATGGAAAAATTTTTTCAAGAGATTCAATAGAACTTTTTTCTTTGTGTGTGTCTGAACTTATTTTTACGACCTAATACCAACTTTCGAACCTTCGAAAGTCCCATTTCAGAGGTCCTACGAAAAAATATTTTTAGTAGAAGCTGATAGTACAGTAGCTTGGGACTTTGACAATGCACTAGCAGCACTATTTATTCAATTCTTGAAGTCTGTCTGAACTAAAAAGTGAAACCCGACTCCTGCAGACAATAATTAAGAAACTTTCAAGCGAGTCTTAAGTCCTTCGCAAACGGCCTCGGGGAAGACTCAAAAATTATCGAATAAGATCCGTTCAAGAGAACGAAACTGCGTTTAAAGTAAGAATTCTTTGATTCTCAAGCTAGAAAACAAAAACAATGATTCTATGTCAGTGTCCATTACCTATAACAACTTCAACCCTATTGGGATCCAAAAAATGTAACGAGCGCAAATGTAAAAATCCGGAATACGGTAGCGAGTGTATGTGAGCATGTGTGCCCACAGGGACGTGCTATTATCTGTCAAATGCGCATTATTCGTGTCGCGTCGGGCTGTCGCCACCCATACTCCCCGGGGAGCCGTTTTCAACGACTCTTTACCCCGGACTAAAACATCGGCATTTTGTCGAACACGACTATTAGAGCATACATTCTAGGGGAGCAATATGATCATTATGATTGTAAGCTCTCACCCAAGGAAAGCGAGGTTCAATCATAGCTGAAAATTATGTCGTGAAGGGACTATATGAGCTACGAAACAGAGGCAACAGAAACTTCATGTTTTTGCAAAACAGAAAAAAATTACACTATTGCTCCAGACTTCCCATCGCATTATATGCTAAAGTACTTGATCAGAGGCTTCATGTTCCAATTCTATATCTGCTAGAATCGTAAACGGAAACAAAAATTCTGAAATCTCCTACAGATTCTTGCAAACCCCTTTCCTTCTCCGCCAATCATTTTTTTCCTAATTTCCTTTCAAAATGGCGATCTTACGATCTTGTTAGTGCGTTCAACAAAGTAGATATGAGTACCTTGGTAAGACTTATTTGTTTGTTTTGTTTGTCAAATGAGTCCCAATTTTTCTGAATCGATATGTGTCAAGAACTTTTGTTTCCTTTTTTGGACACAAACTAAATCCATCGCAAAAGCAAAGATTGCAGGCAGCAACAAAGTGATTTCTTCTAAGTAAAACATCCGTGAGATGGTGTTGGCGCAAATTGCGTTATATTTGGAATTTAGCAAGCTTTCTATTCACACTAATTCTTTTGCACAAGTTAAGTTGAGGCATTGACTGATCAAGTTGAAAGTCACCGATAGCAAATTATTCTTGATGAAAATGTATGGTTAAAAGTGCCGAAAGTTTATCAAACGTGTTATAACATTTTGTGAAACAAGTCTGAATTGCTCTTATATAACTGAGAATGCGCAGGAAAAACCTTAAATCATGCTGCAAAAATATTTTTCTTCGACTCCTCAAAATTGCATCTGTTATAAGGAAAATGAAATTGCAAGCAATGCCCCATCAGACTACTTCACGATGACCGTTGCTTTACGTGGCGTTTGTGATCACACCCAATGGCTTCGTTCTAATTTTTTTTTTGGAATGGAACTACTTCAAAAAGTCGCCTACTCTACCATCGCTATGTGATGGAAAGGTTAGTTCGTTTAGTGTCTGAAAAACTATGTATACCAGAACAGTACACTTTATGACAATTTTTGTAAGCCATGGTGCAAAGTGTGCGCCGGTGAGCAATGTAGTAGTTATTTCTCGCAGTTCTTAGGAGCTCAAAAACGTAATTTTCTATTGATCTGTGACCATGAGCTATTGGGCAGAGAGAATTTTAGCTAACACCATTCGCCCAAGGGTTGCTTTCTAAGACTATTTCGAGTCACTGCTGAGCAGCTGAAAACTTATTAAGACATGCGAGCAGGCAGTAATGCAATTTTTGGAGTTATAGGTTAAGTTATATACGCCATAGATTTGTGATCTCCCAGTGTAGCATTTGAAGAGATCTGGCAAATTGCTAGATTGCGAGTCGAAACGAATGTACCCGTTTCCTAACTTAAGCGGTACGGCGGGTTAGGTGACACATTGAGATTATGGGACTACATAGAAATCGAGATTATATGGTGGAGTGATCATGTCACTACATTTCCAGCGCGTCTCAAAACTTTCATACTGGGTGCACTAACGAGCGCGAGTCTCACTGATTCGGATCTATCGGTGGTACTCAAAAAACCTCAAGACTCGGAAGTTCTTCTGTTTTGTGTTACTAGTACGACGGCCTAAATGGTCCTGACTTTAAAAGTTGCCTGTTGCAATTTTGCACCATTAAGCTCTCCTCGTCAAACGAGAAATGCTGAGAATCGATGATTTCGAGGCGAACAGTAGCGATTCCCCGGAGTGCCGGCAATGAAGCGACGAGACTTGTCATCTATCTCGGTGTAACGGCAGTCGATGACAACGCCGCCAACGAGGGTCGCCGACATTAGCGCCGTCGCCCTGGGGAATCTTGAACCCCCAAAAACAAAAAGTGCGAACGAGCTCTCTTGTTGGTACTTACCATTGTTCTATAACCTCGGAGGTAGTCACTCCGAGACCATCCCGCACTTTCGAGCAAGTTGTTGATTTCGGATTCTTCCAGGGTGGATAGTATGCAGTCAGCCAGGATCTTCGCCCGTACAGGAATCGCCTGAATTATGCGAAGCTGATTTCACCTGTGATCCTCCAGCGAAAAAGGAGTAATTATTAAGAATATCAGTATGATGCAGTGTAAATGTTGTATCCGCTTTTTATTATGAAATAGTTTGCTCTATACTCTATCCCAAGAAACGACTTGCAAAAAATGGGGACCTCCCATCGTATGAATTTCGAACCTCTTTCCCTACTTGGCTCAATCGTTTCTATGTTACTTTTCAATAATTTCATAGTATTATTGTCAATCATGATGCAAAATCCGGTCTGCTATAATGCACGTTTCCAAAATTGTGCAAACGCTGAGAAAGGAGCGTCTGTCTTAAAGGCAGTGTCCCGGCAGATTCGCAGCTTAGGGGATATAGCTGCGTTGGGGTTCCTGGGCACCCCACCGACCTCCAGGCGCAGTCCGGCTGGTTGATGTTCCCCCCGCGCCGAGAAAATGGCCCTCGAACCGGCGTGCGCAATCCCAATCGGCGCGCTCTCGGACGACTTCTCTTACCTGTTCGGCGCGGGACCCCACTACCGCTCTTCGCATAGTGCATGCTATTTGAAGCAAAAATTACAGGCGGCAGGGTCTTCGTGCCGGGGCCTCCCAATTTTCCATTGAAATTCTCGTCCGAGCTGCCTTTTGGAAATTGGGTAAACGCCCCGAAAAAGGTCTTTTCGACCGTTTCAAAGCTAAAATTCGGGATCTACGCGTCGAAGGAGGCCCAAAACATGAAAAAGATGGAAATGCAAAATCTGCCGGGAAACTGCCTTTAAGCGCAGAATTCTAAAAATGCATCTTTGCATCACACCCTAGGTGCGCCGCACTTGAACTTCAAAAGGGGCTGCTGTAAATAAGCTGGACTTTCTATTCCGACGTGGTCAGCCCCTTTTGAAGTTCAGCTATCCTTTTGTGTTCAAACTATTATGCTTCCCTGGTCGATGGCATGGTAGTGGCATCAAAAAATCTGGACCCCCCCCCACCCTGAAATAACTCCATAAGCGAACACCTTTCGATGTCCTCAACAGGGTATGAATACAGACTCTGAAGTGCTCTGGCACAGGCTTAGTCTGACAGTAGCTAGATAAATTCCTCCCAAGTCTGTTTGAAATAGGCTGTAAAATCTCTGCTTCGAGGTTTCAGCAATAATGGAGGCTCGGGTCGAACAAAGAAGCTCTCAAAGTGCCTGCCATCATCACTGCAACTGTGACAGCGACGTCGTAAAATTGAGGATAGTTCTCATAAATATGTTTTAATGTGTCTCTTTCGCACCTTTGCTTTACGCGATCTTTTTCTGAGGTCGTGGAGAGAGAAGAACCCAAGGTTTGTTGTAAACAAAACAGCAGATCAGATATATCAAAAATGTTGTTAATCTAGTCCTACTAGCGAATAGGGTTTGAGCTTAATGGGTGACAGAGTACAGTTTTCAAAGGATTTTACGCTTATGTATAGGTAAGGGCAAAGTAGAGAGGGCCCTGTATGTTGGATAAACTTTTGCTGATTTCTAGGTTTCCTAATTCGAATTCTATGATCTAATGTTTCAAACCAACCTGATACTGATATAACATGTTGAATACGGCTTTCTTAGCCCTTTGGATTGGTGCCTCCTCGGGTGGAGTGCTGACTCGGCTCTGATCACTTGTGGAAGTACAAGGTGACGAGCTCCGACTTCTCGTTTCTACCGTTTCACAATCCTTCGGAGCACTGCGGTTGCTCTGGAAAACGAAGCATAGCTGAGCGTTTCAACATATTGAGCTCGGCTTCAAGCTAGGAAATGATATTTGACACATGCTCTAGCCCTGGAGTTTGTCTTGAACATTTACCTCAGCCCTCACATTTACAAACTACATTATGAGCACCATGCCCGGAAATACAGTCGTACATCCCATTTGACCCTGGAGTTTCCATCATAGATTCCTGATAACAAGGAAATCCCAGGCAGAGACCGAACATAGTCCTGCCACTGTACACGTTCCGCTGCCAGGTATGCATCTACTGGAGTGCCAGGATCACAACGCATCATGTACTGAATCTCCAAGCAATATCGTCCAATGCGAAGTAAATATAAAGTCCCAGCAAAAAAAGGTCACAAAATAAGATTACAGCTACGCTGAAAATTCATTTTGTTGCCTACTCGCCGGCTCACGAATAATTACGAGTACGCGAATGGATTTCAGACTACGGCAGGGCATCGCGTCGAGACCGCACATCGTGCTACACTTGCAGATCTGTTTTCAAAAATGGGAAAATGCTTGAGATTTTCCTGCAGTTCAGAACTATGAATAAGCGCGACTATGAGCATAGAAATACCAAAACCACCGCTGAAGTTCTGTCCGCACTGCCCGGTCTACTAGAAATTCTAAGCGATCGCCGCGATTGACAAATTCTGCTCTGCTTGAAGGAGCGTCCAGGCAAATCTGGACATATGGGGATCTCAGGTGGACAGTTGGGACTCTAACTAAGACACTGCCCAACCGGCAGCTCAGATGGTGTTCTCACGGCTGAGATATTCGCCTCCAAATTGGACCCCAGCCAGGACCTACTTCACATGGATTCATGGCGCGACACATCAGTTCCGCGTGGGTTCTCACACGAAAGCATGCAAATATGATGCGAGTCGTCCGATAATACGACCCTGGGGTCCAGTTTGGAGGCGTATATCTCAGCCGTTAGTGAGTCATTTGTTAGGGCCCCAAAATTACTTTCCACGTAAAATCTCTAAAAGCCCGATTTGCCTGGACGCTGCCTTTGAGCACCTGATAGTTCCAGTATGCAAAAGTTTCTATCCTTTTTCAACATCACGATTTCTTTTCATAAGACTACAGTGTAATTAATCACCCACAAATACCTCGAGAAGACATTTGTTATAAACATTGGCGATTTATGTCTTTACTAGTCAAAAGCCACCACTTGTTCCCATCACTACAATTTCGGAGCAATTAGGCATAACTCTTGTACGACAAACGACAAACCTCAGCATTTGAACACATTTTCGCCATTTTGTCGAGCAAAATGATGGAGTTCATGGTGAAATTCTGAAAAGAAACGCATAATTAAAAAATCATTAGTCTTGGCTTTTTAATATGCGGCTTTTTGTGATGGCGTGAGGAATGAAGCAGATTGAAATTCTCCTAGGCGGTAGTTGTGTTTCGTCTATACTGCAGTTAGCTGAGCACTCTCGTAGAAAAGTTGACAAGAGGCTGAGGAGGCAAAACTGCTAATTTACCTTGACAAAATGGATTACTTCTGTTTGTTATTGTTTGTTTGTTTTCTATCAAAGAGAAATTTTTGTGCTTTCCGGGATTTCTTATACCGAAGTCATATTTGCATAGCGCAAAGATACAGGCTGATGAAGAGAAGAAGTGAAGCTCCTGGAAAACGCAAATTTTCTCTCTGATATACGAATAAAACTAATTCATTATTTGCAGTAAATCAACGACCAAAGTTATCAAACACTACAGAACCTGATGTTGATTTTGGATGGTTTTTATGACCCTTTCATTCCACCTAGCAAAAATTTTGAAAGGATATATCTATGCTGCTCCTCTGTCAATTTCAATGAAATGCACTCTTACTGTTTGTTACAAAAGTCATATGATACGATCTAAGAAGTATTACGAATATCTGCGAATATCTGCGAAAAGAATTTCAGCTGCGACACATATGTCTCACCTGATAGATTTATTTTATGTATTTATTTATTTAGAAATGCGAAATTTATAACTTATTCCTTTTTATCACTTGTCAGCATAACCTTTGATTCAGCTGGCTTGGCGCCTGGAAGGCGGGACTTTATTACCTAATTAAAGGCACCGTCCATCCAAATCGGGATTGGTGAAATTATGATACCTAGCAGCTGCGGGGCTCCTAACTGTATGATTGCCCAACCTGCGCTGCCTAAAGTTGCTTCCGAAGCGAGAAATTGCTTCGGAAATCGCTTCAGGTGACGGTTCGCCACGTTGGCTCCTCCCCCACACTCGTCCCGCCCATTCGTGCGCTCCCAACCAATCATTTTTCCGAAGAAATCGCTGTACGGGTTTTGAAAACGGGGGTTTTCGTGGTTTTCGCGGATTTCCGAATTGATATTCGGAATCAGGAGTATGAGAAGGCCCTGGAAAGGCAGAATATGGAGGTTGAAATTTTGGGTGAGCGCCTTTAAGTTCGCTCGTGCCAGCACGAAGTCTGCGTCTCTCCCACGGTGCTCTCCGACCATTTCTTAGCCTTAATTAGGTCACTAAGCCCCGCCTTCCAAGCGCCAAGCCAGTTGAATGGAAGGGTAAGTGTGGGTAAAGCCTGTAGGGAATTTCTCTTCTAAATTATACGCGATCGCACTTGTTACACTGTTCTGTTTGTAAACCAAGATTTGAGAAAAATTACGGTTAACTGCTAAAAAGTGGTAACCATAATTGAAGATTCCATACTTCCCAAGCTTCCCACAAAATCTTTCATCGTTCACCCTTCTGTCTACTTTTAGAGACAACCAAAAGACATAAATAGCAGCAGAGTTGTTGAATGAGAAAGCTAAGGCCGAGTTCCTCATTGCAGCGGTTCTTTCCCTTCGGCTTTGTCAACCCGCTGCTGAGCTGTGTCAGCGCGTTGTCAATGTTTCCTGTCGCAATTTTACAAAGGTGTCAACTGTGACAGGCGTGTGCTCCAGTGCACCTTGCAAATTTTGTTAGTTTAAAACAAAAAGTCAAGTCAACTTATAGTGGAATGCCATTGAGATGGTTAAGAACTCGTTTTTTGATTCCGACCCAGTGCCAAAGGCCGGGCTGCTACCGAAGAGGTGATAGGGAAGACTTTGATTTTATGCTCATTTCTGGAAAAGGGCGCATTTAAACTAGGATTTGTTCGGAAGATATTATCTGTTCAAAGGTTCTCGCTTAACCGATGACCAAACCGATAAAACATAGCTTTTGATTCAACTGGCTTGGCCTCTGGAAGGCGGAGCTTCGTGACCTTACTAGGGCTAGACAATGATCGGAGAATACGCGCGCGAGAGATGTGCAGACTGCGAAGCGGACGCAAGAGCGGCCTTGATTAGGTCACAAAGCCCCGCCTTCAAGAGGCCAAACCAGTTGAATCAAAGGTTAAATTCAACACTGCTTTTCCATCTCTTTCCAAGTGCCATGTCTTTAAGCCAAAGTCTTGTGAATGCTGAGATAACGAATTCTTCATCCACCTCTGTTTGTCCAAAATTAAGCTGATTTTCAAAATTGTTCTAGACTTTTAGAAAAGAATAGGTATCAGACATTACAGCAGATACTAAGCTACAAGAAACTGCTTTTATAAGTCCTCATATGCATGCGCTCACAAGCTAAGTTTTTTTACCAAAAAAAAATTTTAAAACCGAAAATCTAATCAAGGTAACTTAAAGGCACCGTCCACCCAAAACCTCGACCTCCATGTTTTTGCCGTTCTAGGGCCTTCTCATGCCCCTGATTCCGGATATCAAGTTGAAAATCCGCGAAAACCACGAAAAACCTCGTTTTCAGAACCCGCAAGGCGATTTCTTCGGTACGGTGATTGGTTGGCCGCGCACGGATGGGCAGGACGAACGTCACGCCCACTCGGAAAGGGGAGGAGCCAGCGTCACGAACGCGGCCTGAAGCGATTTCCGAAGCAATCTTCTCGGTTCGAAAGCAACTTCAGGCAGCGCGAGTTGGGCAATCATACAGTTGGGGGCCCCGCATCTGCTAGATATCATAACCTCACCAACCCCAATTTGGGTGGACGGTGCCTCTAAAGTAACAGAAATTTAGCAAAAGGTACATCTTACATCCCAGTTGCTAGTGTTTCTCCCGAATATCAGTATAGATTTACTCAAGCTTGGGGGAGTTTCGGTTACGGTAAAATTGGTTAAAGAACCATAATATCGCAGAGAATGCGCAGACGGTGAGAAAAGTAGCACTCAGCTTTTCACGCATTGTGCTAATGAAATTTGCAGTAAATTCGCTCGAACACGTTGACAGACCTTAAAAATGAAGGGTTTTGATATTCTCTATAATCAAAATTGATAATAAAATAAAATGATAAAATATAAAAATAATAAATAATAAAATAAACAATAAATAAAATACCCTAGTTTCACGCGTACAAGGCGCGGTGGATTTTTTTACAAAATTGAATGGCTCAAATACGCCAAAGAACTTTGCAACCAAAGGACCCTATGCCGTGCTGTATATTGCTTAAGAGAATCGTACGGCATAGGGATCGCTTTCCGAAATACTTTGGAGCGGCTGAGGGGTTTGATTGAAAAATCGAAAAAAGTGCGCCTTGTACGCGTGAAATTAGAATAATAATAATCTCTATATATACATAAAACAGAAAATCTGTAAGTTTGTTCATACGCATTCCGGTGCAGGTTGTGCAGAGTGTGCAGGGTGTTCACGGTGTGCAGATGTGCAGGATGTGCAGGATGTACAGGGTGTGCAAGTGGGCAGGGCGTGCAGGGTGTGCAGGATGGGGAGTTTGGACTGATAGATTGGCTCCAAACCGGAGTGAAACCCGGGATGCGTGCCCGTTATAAATAATTACAACTGATCATCCTCAAGTTTTGATATACTTACTTACAAGGAAAGGAAGGTTGGTCGAAGTGGCCTTCTGAAATGGGATGTATACTGCCTTGTAGAGCTTGGAATGCTGATTCCAAATCTACCTTTGCTATCTGCTGCGGGCTTCTGGGCGACGAATTATGAAGGTTTTTGTGAGTGAAAATTTGAATGCAAGAGTAGGCAAAATCAGAATCGTAACATTTTTTATAGGGTTTAGTTAGTAGTCGGGTCTACTCGGTGCAACAAATATTCTTGATTCAAATATACCAATTCGCTGCTGCCTCATTTGAACATTGGGGAAAGGTTACGATTGATTTTACCCTATTTTTGCATTCAGATTTTTACACACAAAAATCTTCATAACTCGTCGCCCAGAAGCCCGCAGCAGATAGCAAAGGCAGATTTGGAATCAGCGTTCCAAGCTCTACAAGGCATTATACATCTCATTTCAAAAGGCCACTTCGACCAACCTTCCTTTCCTTGTTAGATACTTAGATACTTAGATGGCCCGTCCTCACGTGACGTGCGGGCCCCAGTACAGAAGTCGCCATTGATCCCTGTCCCTCGCTTCGGACATCCACGATCTTCTTGGTCGTCGTCGGTGGCTGCGTCCACGAGTTCCAGGGGCAAGAATCGTATCCAGCTGATTTCTCAGCTGGTCCATCCGTTCCACGAACACGTCTGCCCATCTCGTCGGTGGTCTTCCTCGAGGACGTTTGGCTTCGCGAGGAATCCACTCAGATGTTCTTAGTGTCCATCTATCGTCCGTTCTTCTCATTATGTGACCGGCCCATCGGTGTTTCGCTTTCGCAACGTATTCCGCTGGGTCACGAAGACGGGACATTCTTCTCATATCCGTGCTGCGAAGTCCGACTAGATGTTGCTTGTGTCGGGTCATCTTCAGAAGACTGCGCTCGAGCGCTCTGTGGGTGGTCCTTAAAGCTTTCGACGTGGCTACGGTGTCGGCCCAAGTCCCAGCTGCGTAGCAGAGCGCTGGGAGAACGGTTGAGTCGAACAGGTGGGCACGAAGCTCCGGGTCCGTCAGTTGGTCGGTGGCTTCCTTCAGAGGCCCGAAGGCGGCCCAGGCTGCTCTTCTTCTCCTGTTAAGTTCTTCCCTCAAGTCGTTCTCCATGTTCATCGAACGCCCGAGATACACGTAAGAAGACGTCCCCATGATAGAAGTGCCTTCCAATTCCATTTCTGCATCTTCGCAAAGGGCGTTCTTCATGAACTGAGTCTTCTTCCGATTTATTCGCAGTCCGATCTTCTTCCCTACTTCGTTTAATTCCTTCAGCATCGCCTCTGCTTCAGTGATACTGCTCGAGAAAAGGACTGTCATCCGCAAAACGAAGGTTGGATAGGAATCTCCCATCAACTCGTATGCCTCTCTCTTCCCAGTCTAGTGATTTCATCACCCACTGCAAGGCCGCGGTGAACAGCTTCGGCGAAATAGTGTCGCCTTGTCGAACCCC